GTATTGGCCCGAGTCTGGGTACTGAAACTGATCCGACACTGGGTCACAATCATGACGACATCTAGCCAGTACTAGTCTTGTAAAAAAAAAAAATATACATATATATATATATATATATATACACATATATATATATAGTGCAAACAGTTCATACAGACAGTAAGATGTTCTTTAAATTATTACGCTGATAAAATGTTATATATTGTTTATTGAAATTAGAAAAGGCATTTCACTCGTGCTCTCAGACTTTTGGACCCCCCTCTTTGTTTTGCAGTGTACATGTCATGTTTAAATGCTGTGCATATGCAGTTAAACTCCTTTACCTGCTCTCCAGCTGTTTAATAATGCTCCCCATCTGGTTTGTTTTCTCCTCCAAGCGGCTGATGATGTCACTCTTCTGTTTTGCGCTGGCCTCTGAGCTCTACAAGCCAGACAAACACAAACACAAACACACTGCATCAAAAATAAATGCAGTTTTGCTACATTAGATAAGTGGTACTAATCTAGTTGTAATGTTCTTAATCTTATTAACAATTCAACACATACAAGCCATGTGAAGCAGCAGCAGAATTCAGACAGATGAATAGAAAGTCCTGAAATTTTAACACACTACAGGTGCATCTCAATAAATTAGAATGTCGTGGAAAAGTTCATTTATTTCAGTAATTCAACTCAAATTGTGAAACTCGTGTATTAAATAAATTCAATGCACACAGACTGAAGTAGTTTAAGTCTTTGGTTCTTTTAATTGTGATGATTTTGGCTCACATTTAACAAAAACCCACCAATTCACTATCTCAACAAATTAGAATATGGTGACATGCCAATCAGCTAATCAACTCAAAACACCTGCAAAGGTTTCCTGAGCCTTCAAAATGGTCTCTCAGTTTGGTTCACTAGGCTACACAATCATGGGGAAGACTGCTGATCTGACAGTTGTCCAGAAGACAATCATTGACACCCTTCACAAGGAGGGTAAGCCACAAACATTAATTGCCAAAGAAGCTGGCTGTTCACAGAGTGCTGTATCCAAGCTTGTTTACAGAAAGTTAAGTGGAAGGAAAAAGTGTTGAAGAAAAATATGACCCCTTTAAACTACTTCAGTCTGTGCGCATTGAATTTATTTAATACACGAGTTTCACAATTTGAGTTGAATTACTGAAATAAATGAACTTTTCCACGACATTCTAATTTATTGAGATGCACCTGTATGTGACTCGGGCACCTCAAGTCTACTCTACTTGCTTCTTTATGTTGGCACTGTCATATCAGATCAGTTTGGTTGTTAACTCCTCCATAGTGTAACCTATTAATATGGGGAAGGAAAAAAAATATGTCCTGCTTACACGCAGCTTCCATGTGTGGAACAAGTCGGCGCTCCAGTGTTAAACTTGTGAATTGTGATAAGCGATTTCTAACGGAAAATAGCCAGGTTTAGTTATTCAAAAATGTAACTAAATAAGATGTTGACGCATACCTGTGACTTAATGGAGAGCTCATGGTTGAGTGTACGCATTTCATCTAACTGCTGTCTGAGTTCCACCAAAGCATCATGTTTTTCACAGATGTCTTTCTCTAGCATCTTCATGGACAGCTCCATCTCTTGCTTCATCCCTATCTGCACCTCCAGCTCCTTCTCGACATCCTACACAAACATACAAACACACTCTGTTTCTTAAGAATTCAGATTCTTCAGACTTGATTCTTTGAAGACCCCACATCAGAGATGAATCTGAAGATAAAGACAGTGATAAACACACATTAATGTTTTACTCACCAGTCTGAGCTGGGTTTCCTCTTTAAGCTGTTTGCGAGTTTCCCCAAGCACTTGACCGTTTGCAGTACCATCTGCCCTTGATACCTTCAAGAGAAACACATGTCAAATATCAGAGCAAAGAATGTGACAAAACCAAAAAAAGTATGTTATAACCCTACTGTGAACTACTATAAGCTTGTGGCTTGCTTTTGAATAATGAGTAGCAATCACTGTTGTTCTATTGAATGCTTGTTAACAATCAGCACTGTGTTGTTCACCTTGCGACTAGACTCCACTAAGTAAGAGCTTTCCTCCTTCACCCTTTCCAGCTCCTCCTGCAGAGTGATGATCCTGTTGTTTGCAACGGCAAGCTAGACACCAAGAACAACACATGCACAGACAGTTGGAACAAGAAATTGATTATTACTAGCATCTATTCACAGCTAGTTATCTTGTTATTTCTAAAGTGTTTTTGAAAAATCACTTACTCTGCCTTTAAGTCCCACAAACCACAGTAAGTGTGTCAATAAACCACATACACTACTATCATTAAAAAATCTGGGGTAAGCACTTTTTTTATTTACTTATTTTTTGGAAAGAAATTAATATTTTTAATCACAAGGACGCATTAAACTGATCAAAAGTAATAGTAAAGACAGACAGTAAAGTTATAATTTTACAAAAGATTTTTTATTTGCTGCTGAAAATTCAGCTTTGCCATCACAGGAATAAATTACATTTTTAAATATATTAAAATTTTCAATTGTAATAATATTTCACAATGTTATATTTTTTAAATAAATTACTGCAGCCTTAGTGAGCATAAGAGAATTCTTTGAAAAACATGTTTTTTTAAATCTTACTGACCCCAAACTTTTGAACAGTAGTGTACAGTATACACAGCTGTGTGCATGAATATGTCATGTGAATTCAGTTCTGCTAACATGTAAATTATCTATCAGTTCTGTAAATCATTTTTCTCCTGTTTATTATACTCTTGTATTTACCACAACTTCAGTAATCCATTAAATTATAATTATTACCCACCTCCTCTGTAAGTTTTGAGTTGGATTTTTCCAGCGCATCCACTTTGGCTTGCAAGTTATTCACTGACGCACTGGGAAAGGGGAATTTAGAGTGACAATGTGAGATTGCTCATGCTTTCCAAATGAGCAGCTAGTCACAAACACACCCCACAAGGCTGATGTTGGGTAATGGGACTGCACCTTAAATGTCTGTTCAGTTCCTCAACGTAATTCTTCTGGTCAAGAATAGCTGTGATTTGTCCATCACTGCAAACAAAAAGCAGCTTTAGAGGAAGCTCTGAGATTTTCACGAGTAGTCCAAAACCTGTCAGACTAACACAATTAGCTTCCACTGAGGAAGTTGAATATGGACTCACCCCTCTGTGCTTTTGCTGCTGTGTGCACCGTCTTTCAGATACATGGAAAAATCTATGACTCCAACCTATTGAGAGAGTAGAGGAGATCTTATTACCCTGTATCACCTGTTGGCCAACACACACACTCAAAGAATAAAGAAAAATGTAACAAAGATAATGCTTTGTTCCATCATATATTGTCCTTCATTACTTGTGTACAGTTAAACTAATTAACAAATACCTGTGAGTCTAAATCTTCTCCCTTCATGCACAAGTTAGCATCAATGACATTCAGGCCCACCAACAGCCCAGCGATCACGGCTCCTTCCTCCTCCATCATAAGAGCATTGGGCTCATAGAATTCACTGAGGAACACAACAACAGCAAATATAAGACACTTACAAAACTGGGTCATAAAACCACAGTTATGGCTTTTATATTAAAGACCAAAAGCTGGAACTGTACCTGAGAAGGTCTTTTCGGTTGATGATGGTCTTCATGTAGTCTGAGAGCTTCTTCTGCATTAAAGCCAGACGAAGCCATGCTCTGCCTCTTCCTAAAGGGGTTCTGGTATAAAAGAACAACTTTAGAATCAGAAACGCAGTATGCATTTAAAAAAACAACAACAACAACATGTTCAAGTTGAAAATGTTTTCTTACTTGAGCCCAGGAAGGTCTTTGACGCTGGCTGTGATCTCACCAGCCTCTGGAGTCAACTTTTCCACAAGCTCCAAAGGACCCCAAAAAGACTTATTTTGACCAAGGAACGTCTTCTTACCTGAAAAAAAACGATATTTTTAGAAAAAAAAACAACTGAAAACAGACTGAGTATACACAGCATACCAAAAGTACTGTGCAAACAGTAATTATCAAAATTAATGAGCAGATGATTACATGATTATTGCGTAAAGGACACAAATGAATGATTACTCTGAGGACAGTGGAATTTGGGTTGGGATTTGTTGCACTTACTTTTAAGCCCATGTTTCAGACAGTGCTCCATGACGACAAAAAACTGCTGCAGTGGGGCATAGTCTGAGTCCAGTGTGCGGCCCAGGTTCAATGCAGACTCAATCAAGCCCTTAATGCTCAGCTTGGCCATATTCATCAGGTTAAGCCTCTCGATGGCAATGGGGTCCTTGGGATCTGGAAATCAAAAAATTCAAGCATGAATTAAAACATTGTGGTAAAATATGATTCAATTCTCCCACTGCGACTTCTCCTACACACAGTATTTAACACGGGTGTCAAACTCAATTCCTGGAGGGCCACAGCCCTGCAGATGGTGCGTTCCAAACGGGATATATCACCCTCCGAAGGGCACTTCGAAGTGAAAATAATCATGACCCCCATATTGAAAGGTTGTTCCAAACCGAAGTGCTCAAAACTGGCCACTTCAAAGGGCCCTTTGGAATGAAGGATTTCGAAGGGTACAACTGATGGACACTTCGGGCTCCCATGAGCATTTGCGCAGATTCTTTGCATGATGCCGGCACCTCCGTGTGGGCACGTGATGATGACGCAAGAAGGGCACTTCAAGTAACAGTTGTTTGGTCCCCTACACCCTTCAACCCTTCGAAGCTCTCACTCCGGAGGGTAAACCCTTTGAAGGGATTAGGGCATAGGGATGAGCCCGTCCGAATGGAACGCAGTTTAGCTCCAACCCTAATTAAACACACCTGATCCAGCTAATCAAGTCCTTCAGGCTCAATTGAAAACTACATGGTTTGTGTGTTGGAGCAGGGTTGGAACTAAACTCTGCAGGGCTGCGGCCCTCCAGGAACTGTGTTTGACACCCCTGATTTAACAGGTTTCAGCATGAGATATAAGCAATATATGAGGGTTTGGACTGGAGATTTTCTCAGAAAAAGACTTCATGAGAACTTTCCACTGACTGCGGCTACGTGTTTTCCTCCATGTCTGGCAAAGATTTATGAAATTCTGGTTGATGCGATGTGTAATGCATCAAATGCAGACAGATTTCATCCCACCATCTCAAACATGCCCAATCATGAATAAATAATAAGTGTGTTTTTTAACTGAACAGATGATTGTTTTGAAAGCTGTTGTTTTCAGGATAATCTCAATCCAACCTTACAATGCATCACAAAATAGATAAAGTACAGTAAATCAATTTTTACTAAACAGAATTTCGAGTTTGAGTTCTCAAGCCTCACCCTTTCTAAACCAAAACACACCCACAGTAATGCAATCATTTCAAGACTCTCAATCCATGTCTGTTCACGAATAGCAGTGACCTTTTTCATGAGGACATGCAAGGACTGGCAAGAAAAAAGCTGCTATACAGTATACAATTTTACATAAATATTAGAAATATATTTTTCTTTAAAATCACTTGGGTTGATTTTACAATGGGCCAAGATGGGCTCATTTGGCATTTAGTTAATTTTCTCATCTCAGTGCACTTAAATTGCACAAAAATGTCTCATTGCTTTTAGGTGTTGAGACAGGAGAAATGATCCAGGAGGCAGTGGGTCATTTTCACAGCACATTAACTTTTAAAATGAAAAATGATAACACGGAACAGTCTGTCAGTTTAAGTCTTGTCATTTCAGCCCAAATTTATTTTAAATGGCCATTACTCATTCAATAATATTGAACTGCTAATGCAACAACAAAAATGAACAGTAAAACCAACAGATTTTTACTGGTGTTTCAGTTTATACCATGTATTAAAGGCCTCCTTGTAGGTTCACACAGTCACACATAGTCAAGCCATAGCTTCATGTCTATGCAAAGGTTATACAAATCACAGAAACCATATTCTTTCACTGTAAGAACACAGAGATTGTTTTAGTGTGTGTTTTAGTGTATAAGAAGTCTCTGAATCATAAATATATTTTATGTCTCTTACAAGGTCTACAGGGACTTAATCTGAAGATCCAGAAATTGATCACTGATAATGCTGATAAAACCATGCGATCAACATGCCAAATCAGCCAGAGAATGGGGTGGGGCGGGGAGCCAGCCAAAGAAAACAGGCCAGACAAGAGGAATCCAGCAAAATGGGTGGCCAGATATTTTGCTAGCTACAAAGAGAGCTAGTGAAAAAAAGTCACAGAGACAAAGCTTTTGATGGAAACATCAAACCATAAGGAAGGTAGATAACAGATACTGAAGAAGAGACGAATAAATATAACATGAGCACAAAAGGTGAAGCTATAGAAGCTGTGGTGCAAATGTGCCATTCAGGGAGGCTGGTTTGTAAAGACAAGGCCACATGGCCACATCTGCTGTGGTTTTAGGATGGTGCCTGAGGCAGGGATGAGGTGGACTGGGGAGAGCGACACCACCATACGCACCTTTAAACTCATCAAGCATTCGCATTTGCTCCACCAAATCTGTGAAATCCTCCCATGAGTCTTTGCAAAAGGCAATGGAAAACAGAAAAAAAAGCAAAAAAGGATTGTGTCATGCACATCATGGGAATAAACCAAAGCAACAACAAGAGGGAATACACATTATGTTGTAGGAAATTTGGGTGTAGACTCTTATCTACAGAGCCAAGCTCACTCTCTCTCACTTTCATACAGAAGCACTACAACCGAGACTATTAATAGCAAACTGAGTGTTGATGGTCATTAAGAGCCACTATTATAACGTGTCAGCAAATCTGGATCAGAAGACAGTTACTATGAAGTAATTTGACTACACTAGACAAAGGAGCTCAAACAATGCTCTTCTTGTCCTGCAAGACTCCAGTGGCAACTTATCTAAACTGATTTGTTTGACAGAAAGCCTCGGGAAAGAATGTAATATTTCCTTTTCATCCACAGCACTGGAATAATATCTTTTTTGTTAGATTCGTTCCACGACAGCTTTAAAGGGATAGAACACCAAAAAAATAAATAAATAAAAATTTTACTCACCCTCACATTGTTCCAAACATCCCTGTATGACTTTCTTTGCAAACATAAAAGAAAGTTTTTCGTCCATAAAATATATTCTTTTATGTTCCACAGAAGAAAGTCACACAGGTTTGGAATGACATGAGGGTGAGTAAATCATGACAGAATTTTCATTTTTAGATGAACTGTCTCTTTAAGATTTTCTACAGTATGTCGCTTGGCTGAGGGGGAAAAAGAAAAAACAAAAACGAAGTCAAACCATAAATGACACTTAATGAGGCAGAGCACACCAAATACATTACAATAAACAGTTGCATGCAGTGAAACAAAACAAGGGCAAAATGACAACCAACCAATTACTGACTGATATGCATTTAATTGAAGAGAATATTTGTTGTAAAACATCTATGAAAAAAATATACTGGAGAGATCTCTGAGAAAATAGTACTCTCTTAACTCCCTTTGGCTCTGAACCCTGGGTGCCGAGGTGACACTAAAAAAGTCATTTGTTTATCACAATGTGATAGTGCGGAGACCAACAAGTCACACAGTTGTCTGCACGACCAACAAATGACTACTTCTGTAGTGTATAATCATCTCAGAGTACGACTCTCTAAGCAGACCTTATCAGATAATGTTTTCTATTCCTTGTCTTGCCACATGCCTGTTTCCTGCTCGCCCAATGCAGATAAAACACATTAGATTGAACTGTTGCTGTTAGTGGCTCCTGGTCACATCTTCTCTACTGCCCGTTGATCACATGCCTTCAAGACATTTGATTGAGTGGGAATCTCAGGCCCATCTCCAGGGCAGCAGTACTGTGTCCATATGATGTCCTCTTTTAACCTTTGGCAAGGTAAACCGTGACTCTCCAGTAATGCACTGGATTAGCAGAACAATTGTGAGCTCTGACACATCACTATTCTAGAAAACAATTTATTGCCTTATTTTTTCCTTTAGAAAAGTTATTTAAATGAAAAACAAATGAGAAGCAAATTTGCAAAATGCCTTTTATTTTTTTATTAAAATCAACAGAAAAAAATAACATATCCAACAATATTAAATTTGTTAAAGGTTCATTTTTATTTTTGTTTATTGGAGGTACTTTCGTTCTGAGGGATTTTCCGAACAGTGCAGTGCTCATGCCTAATTTGTGCAATGTGATAATACTTTAATTAGAATAAAATAGCACATGAACAGCTTCTCTCAAATCATTCAGTGGGAAGCAAACCTTCATGCACACTTGTGCTCCATAAAACCTACATTTCCAGGCAGGCCTGCGGGAACGCTGAGAGCATGATGGTGGAAGGTTGGGCCAGCACCGCCCAGTGCGATAACAGCCACAGAGGCCTAGTGATGCTGTGCGCGCCTACCTTCATGAGCCGGCTCGGGATCTGGCGTTAGCGAGATGTCATTGAGCTCGCGCAGGCACAGCCATTCGCCATCCACCGACACGCGGAAGTTGCATAGGTAGATGGTCTCTCTGGCAGCCTGTGTGATCTTGTCAGTGGTGGGGGTGGGGGCCTCGCTCTGGGGCGTCAGATCAGACATGGTGACTCAGCTGATAGCTGCTGCGACGACAACAACACTTACGATGACGGCCCTCAGTGAAGAGTTAGGAGCAGTGAATAGGAACAATGCCGATTTTTTTTTTTTTTTCCAAATCCAGTCCAAGCAAGAATCTTCTCCAGCACAAAGAAAGAATGAAAAAGAGAGTCAAGGAAAACAAAGAAGGAAGAAAGGGGAAAAATAAACAAGCAGTCCAGGGCAAACCTGACTGAAGGGATGCTATTCTTCTGGGGCTCAATGGCCTAGTGAATGAGCAGCGACAGCTAAAATCCTCCGTGTGAATAAAGGCTTCAGTGCTCTCTGGCTCAGCACAGCCAGGGGATTGAGATGCCGTGTGAGCTTCAGCGCAGCTACAATCAGAGATGTCTCTTTCTCTCTCTCAGTCCCTCCCTCACAGCCCAGCTGCTTGCATTCACCGGATTGGCTGCATGCGCTGCAAATGGGAGGGTGTTGACCAAGATGGCTGCCGTGATGCTGAGGAGGATTGTGGGAATCACGTGAGCAGATGGTGGAGAGGGGGGGGCACAGTTCCCGAGAGGCCTGTCAGATGCGGGGGGAGGTGGGGGTGGGGTGTGCTGTTGTCAATGATCCACATGCCGCACAAGAAAAGGGCGGAAGTCCTACTGATTGAGAACTAGAGCATTGCTGATAAAGCTGCTTTTTACTGGACAACAAGTTTAAGAGGAGCAAGCATGTACTTTGTGTCAAATTAATAAACATGATGCAAAAGTTATACAGATATTTGGTAAAAATGGTCACACATATCAACCACTAGCCATCCTGGGGTGGTACTGTAACCATTTGAATAATAACAAGGTAGACTTTCTTTTGTTAAACCAGTACCTTTGAAAAGAGAAGAACCTCATGTGCAAAGTCATGTAAAATGGCATTTGAATATTAGCAGTAATCTATTAGTCAAATTGTATTAATTATTTACAAAAGAAAAGCACTTATGCATGAAAACAATCAATTAGAAACACATTTTATGAAACTGCATTGGGTACGGACAAAGGTTTGGGGTCAGTAAGAAGGAATTCAGCAAAGATGCACTGAATTGAAAGTGACATTTATTGTGTTACAAAAGGCTCATATTTCAAATAAATGCTGTTCTCTTTTTTTTTTTTTAATAATCCTGAAAAAAAAAAGTGTACAAAAACATTAAGCAGCACAACAATGTTTTCACCATTAATAATAATAAGAAAAGCATAAAATATGCATATTAAAATGATTTCTAAAAGATGAAGTGGCACTGAAGACTGGAGTAATGGCTGCTAAAAAATTCAGCTTTGCCATCACAGCAATAAATTATATTTTAAAATGCACTAAAACAGAAAACAGTTATTTTAAATTGTAATATTTCACAAAATTATTGTTTCACTGTATTTTTGATCATATCAATGAAGAATGTAAGTACAGAAGACTTCTTTCAAAAACACAAAAAAAATTCTTACCGACCCCAAACTTTTGTAAGGTAGTGTATCTCTAAAACTATGCAGATAAATGAAAATACCAAATAAATTTTCACGTGAGAGTAATGTTACATCATTCAGTGATGCAGTTCTTAGCCAGATATGTCATTACAGATATTACCATAATACTGCTAAGTAATTCAGGAATAACTACGAATATCACGAATAATTTCTGATTTGTGGACATCTACATTCATACAGTAGGTGTAATCTTGTTTACATGCCAGCTGATGACAGTTTGTGCTAGCTGTAGGCAATTTATTTACTGATGAATTAGAAGTCATAATTTCAAGAAAAAAACACCAATCTAAGAAAGACAGAGCTAACAGTTACTGCAAACTTGCATAAACGCCGCAGTGGCTGTCATTATGCAATGTTGTTGACATTGAAACATAAGGCTTGTGTCAAATAATGCAGCATGTTCAAGTGAACCAAACACTATCAGATCTTATCAAACAAACCCATATGCAGACGATCATAACATATACTCACTTCTTGTTTTCTTGTTAGTCTTCTCAATCTGGAATTCATATCGCACTGGGACAGGAAGAGAAGAGCTCGTCTTTGTAAACTGTATACTTGAGTTATAAGTTAGCGCCTCCTTAAAGTAAATCACCGAGGCAGGGGAAAGCGACTCCTCTGGACTGTTGGCCGTATGTCCATCGCTGTCCTGCATGTGGGGTTTGAGAAATTCATTAGATGACACTAGAGTTTCTGAAACTTCAGTGCTGAGTTGCTCCGATGTTCCCGAGCTCTGGTCCGCCATCTTCAGTTCAAATTCATGTGACCTCTCTGCGATGCACTCTCCAGTCACAGATCAGCTGTTGCCAAACCGCCTCCTCTCCACCTCACCTCTCTGCGTCAACACACCCGTCCGCTAGCATTCAGCTCTCAGTGGAAACTAACGCTAAAGTGTATCCAAGACTCTTTAGGACAGTTAATACAGTACGACTGTATAACTTCTGTTGTTCTTAAATCCGTGGCCAAAACAATAAAGAAATAAAATTTTATTGTAGTACGGGTCATATGGTGTGACGCATATCATCAGCTGGGTGAGAGCATTTAAAGGAACAGCAGCAGCATCGTTCCACTTTAACCTAAATCAAAGTCTTGCCTCAATACAACGGGCGGACCAACTGTACAGTTCCATGATAGGCAAAATGTTACATTTATATAACTTTTATATCATATTGTTACAATTATAATTATAAAAAAGCTATGTTTGAGAGATATATGCAGTATTCTATTTTAAATAACCGAAAGAAGCCTCCACCAATCAAGGAAAGAATATAGCCTACAGTAGTCAACATTTGAAGTGGATCAAAAAAAGTTCATCAAAGTTGTCCTAAGACGAGAACGAGTATTGTTTTGGTTTTGGGACAACTTTGATGAAAGGTTTTGATCCATTTCAAATGTTGACTACTGTATACACACACACACACACACACATACATATATATTCACATATGTGTATATACTTGTGAGCCTTACTCTTTTATTTCTCAGAAAGAGTCTCTTAAATGCACTTTTCACTTTTAACTGTCTAGTAATTTCCCATAAACGTCAAAATAAATAGACCTTAGTTCAGTGGTTCATCCTGGTCCTGGGGACCCCTACTCTGCACATTTTGCACATACAAATTGTGCAGAATGGGGGGGTCCCCAGGACCAGGATTGAGAACCACTGCCTCATTTTTACAAATATGTAGATGCACCACTAGAGAGCGCAATCAGCAGCATTTTGGTTAAATGTCCTTTTACGCCTTTACGCCTTTTACATTTTAAGGCTAAATGTTAAGCCTTCAATAACTCCTAATTCTTCTAAGTAGATCTAAATTTTTTGCTACCCCTAGAACTTTTCCACTGGTAGAACATGGCTTTATTTGTCATGTGTTAATATAAATGAATTTATTTGGTTGTAGGTGCCCATGTACAGAAAAAAAAAATATATATTGTTTAAATTATTATATTATATTATATTATATTATATTATATTATATTATATTATATTATATTATAGTATAGTATAGTATTATATGGGGGTTCTCCATAACCTTTGGATAATGCAGGTGGCCAATTCTTACATCTTCTTTAAGCATTGGCCACCTAAATTATTTACAGAGAAAAATAAAATATTTGGGTTTTGTTTTTCTCTGTAATCTTTGGATAATGCAGGTGGCCATTGCTTAAAGAAGAGTTGCGTAACATGTCTTGTATGTGATGTCTTGTAGATATTTATTTTCGGGGGGATTGCCAGACTGCAGTTATTCCTTCAGCATACACTCACTAGAGGACTTCAGATTTTGCATAATTGTGTGTCATATGACGTAGTAAATCTTGTGATTATCTATACAGCTGCATTTCCCTTCTTATGCTGAGTTTTATTTTTCCTGTGTTCCTAGTTCCTAGTTTTTCTGTTCTATGATCCTTTGCTCATATGCTTTGTTCCATTTTCTTTGATTCCTGTGGGTTACGTTTGTTGGCTTGTTTGCTTAGTTTACTCAATGACACTGTCTGCTTGTGCATACACGTATCAGATTTACCCTTTTGGTTTTGTTAAACCGAAGATTTTGTTACACATATTTGTGCCTGGATCTTAATTACACTCATTCACTATTTGCAGCACCCTAATGTGAAGTGTACTGTAAATAAAGTTATATACATTTCGCACTTCTAAGCCAGGTCATTTCTAGAGTTATTTCAGAACAATTCTGCCCATTTCATCACTCACAAGTGAGAGTTCAGTTCAGTTCTTTAACCATCCACTCCCCCTCAATAACCTTGGCACAGGGGATGAGCTAAATTTCCCCTTATCTTCACCATGAAATAAGGAACAGAAATGAAAACAAAGAGGCCACAAAGAAATCAGCATTACATCTTATGACTGTGACCTTCTTTTGAGAAGTCTCAAATCTCACATTTTTATATTGTATCAATTTCCTTTCAGAAATTCAATGAATATAGAAAATTGAGTAAAAGCATACATTTTACTTCATGATTATGAGTACATATATCTGTTCTATTATTGATTAATCATTCCTCTTGTCCAAACACTGGACCTTGTTATTATTAATTAGACATCACATACAGTGTGTAATATCTCTGGATGTATGAAAAGCACTACTTCTTGCTGCAGTTGTGTTAGATATACAGTGTATTAAACAGATACATAACCAGAGGAAACAAAGCTTTCAGTTATAAGTCTTCAGTTTAATATTTTGGCTGTGTTTCAAGAAAATATATTTTTTTAAATCTGGGGCCGGTTGCATAAAAGGTTTAGACTAGTCTTACAAGTTAGTCATCAAATTTTTTTCTTTAAGACTGGTCATATGTATTTAATTCTGTTACATAAAAGCGTAGATTAGTCTACACTGAATCCCAAAAAAAACAAGACTGATTACCGCTTGGCTAATTGCTAGTTGGTCAAACTAGTTCTTAAAACACCATCTTAACACAGAGGCTAAGTTTATGCAACTGACCCCTGATCACTTCCTTTCCATAACATGCCACATGATTTGATCAGTCGTATCTGTAACACACACACCACTAATAATATCAGGTTTTGCTAAAAACATTTGTACATATGACCAATAAAACATAAGTCTTCTGTCCTCTATATAGTCAAGTTAAATTCAACCCAGTTAAATACATTCCTGTATGGAAAGTATGTGAAAAGAACTCTCTTGAGGAAATACAGTCTCTTCCCAAAAGGCAAACAAACTAAGTAAGCAATCATATGCTCAGAACGTTTTTATCATTCATTTGAGTTTGGTAAACATTAATGTTTTACCAGTACTAAGACCTTGTTAATACAACACTCACTTATAAATGATAAAAAACTTTATTCTGACTGGCAAAAAATGTATTCTTTCTTCTTGCTTAAAGCAAAAGAAAAAATTATTAATAATAATGAATTAATATTGTATTCTTTGTACTGTCTTTTTCTCTCCATAGACTAGGGACATTTAAATGCAGATAGACTTTCAAATGTCAAAACAAGTGGTCATTTCTGTTCCGTCCAGGCAAATTTATCCTCAAGGATGATGGATGTGTTGTTGAGAGCATTTCATTGGAAGATTGGAAAATGAAAGCAAGTCTGTGCTTTATAAGGAACGGACCGTATAAGAAGGAAACATTTCTCTGGAGCTGCCTGTGAGGGGAATCATGAATCAGGCTGTTCTCACACTGCTGTGTGCTCTGGTGTTTGGAGTGACTCTTACACACTCTGCAGGTGAGCTAAAACCTATTGTCTTTCATTACATTTGCATCATATATACACAGAATAATTAGTATAGCCTTTTAGTTACACACCGTTAAAAATGTAAGAAAATATTAAAACTTAAAAGATCATGTTTCAAAAAGTTAATGTTTCATAAATGAAATTATATGAACATACATGTATCAAAATATGACATTTCTAAACTTTAAATGGATCATAATGGATAATCTACAGCTGTCCTTATTGAAAAATAGTGTATCAGTTTATCAGTCATTGCACAAAAATATTTGACCACAGAATGCAGTGATTGTCCAATCAGAATTAAGTATTCTAAAGCCACCAGATATCATGTTTGTTGAGATTCTGTTAAGCATACAATATACATCATAACAAATATCTCTTAATTTGTGTGTTTGCGTGTTTTGGCATGAGGTTTATTTTCTGTCAATCCAATCAGTGACTACCGGCTTGGAACAATAGTTTTCCTGCTCTGGATCTGCTGTGTACATTAGTCCCTAAACTTATCATAATTGTGTTAAGGGCAAGCAGGGGGGCTATCACAACGCTGTTTATGCAGAGGCAGACTGCTGAAAGCAGTGAAGCCCAGATGGATTCGTGCAGTTGAATTGCTCCCACCAAGTCCCTCTTGCTCAAAGACGGAGATTATGTAAGTATGTATACGAGTAGGCTACTGTTACGTGATAATATTTATACATCTTTATTTCTTCTAGAGATTCATTTTTGCAATGTAGTTAATGAACATTGTAATTAAGAATTGCAAGTCCTCAATTGCAATTGCAGTGAAACGATTGCATTTGTTTCTGACCCCCCCTGCTGATCTTAGATTGACTGTGACTGGAAAAGGAAAGGGTAAAGGAAAGGAGGTTAACAGAATGTTAAAGGTGTGTTTGGATCCAAATAAGAGGCAAGGCCAGAGATTACTGAAGGGCAAATGGTGAGATATACACCACTGTTACACTACTACTTACTGAATGTATAACAACCAATTATAATGTATATATTTATGTATTATGTTGTGAGACTTAAATTCTGTGCCATTCCTAGGAGGCAAAACAAAAAGCAAAGGAACAGAGGAAGAAAAGAGAAGATTAAGAAGTCTGACAACAAGGATGATTATTGAAGTTATTCTATCTGTTATAATGCACAAGATTTCAAAGCCATTTAGCCATAAATGTATTCTTTGTGATTCTTTGTGATTTCTATGATGAAACTATAACTAACACTATCGTTTTGAGCTGAACACACTTTTTAACTTTTACTGAATAATTTTTATACAAACCTTTCTAATCCAGAGGAAATCTGTGTGTGATGTAGCCATGAAATAAAAATAATAGCCTACATGCTAATTTGGTGTTTTGTTTACTGAAGAATATGAGTATGAAGCAATAAATATGTTTTGATTACACAAGGATGAATCACAACGGACCTTGTCTGTTCAGTCTCCCAATAACTACTATAACAAAACATTTTTTGTTTTACAATTTAAAGTCCTCTCATTTCGCAGTCTATAGTCTATTGCTATCTACTGATAAAGATTTCAATTAACTGAAAAATTCATTACAAAAATACAGTTTTTGTCATGCTCATACTCATACAATGAAGAAATTGCATGTGAATTGAACCCTTTGCTGAGTAGTACATTCAACAGCTGAACTTTTCCGGCAGAATATTCAGCTTCTGCGGAAAAGACCTTCTTATCCTTATCCTTCTTAGAAATTCTTATCCTGCCGTTCACACAATGTGTGCATTTATGAGAAAAGACTATAGTTATCAGAAAGTGAAAGCACAAAAGGTCACTGTAACTGTCGTGTAACACAGTATGTAATTTTAGACTTAGAGAAAAGCAGTTGAAACCAAACCGATGGCACACGTTTATATCAGATGCTACCTGAAACCCAATCAGGGACTTTATTTGTTATAAAGTCTCTTTCATCCATTGTGAAGGGGGACCCATACTGCAGCAACACCTAGTCCACATACTCACAAAAATTCCATTGAGAACCATCCCCAGATAGCTTAGCAGAGGCAGTTATCCAGAGAAGGTTTGTGGTCAACACATTCTCACTACCAACTCGTCATTTTTTTTATTTTTTTATTGGTTTATTTAATAGGGACAAAACAAAACAGAAATACATGATGGAGAAGACATTGTTCATCCACCATGTCATATACTGACACTTGGTCAGGAACCTCTGGCATCAAACACAAACGTGACAGGCATGGGAATATCACCATGATGACATTACATATTGGAGTATTATTAAATACCTGTAAATAAATATTTATACAATATATACCTGTGATACTATAAATGAAAAGATACACATAATGGTGACATATACATTGACAACAAACAACAAAACAAAACAGAAATACATGATGGAGAAGACATTGTTCATCCACCATGTCATATACTGACACTTGGTCAGGAACCTCTGGCATCAAACACAAACGTGACTGAAAAAATATTTATACAATATATACCTGTGATTTTGTGGGTAGGTTTAGGGTATGAGTGGGGTTAGGTGCTCCAATATCTATGGAAGTATGAATATTTACACACTTTACATTTTTTATACTTATTTGTTAAATAAAAATGTATACTTTTACATATCCAAAGAATAATGCGTCATGATCTGACACATAAGGCAAACAACTGAAATCAATTAAGTACCCTGTACGTCGAAAAATAACGTCAAAGTGTTAAATAGTGACGCTGAGGGATCCTGACCAAGTGTCAATATATGACGAGTTGGGAGTGAGAACACCCTGGGCTGGTCCTCGAGGGACTGATCATCTGTGTGATGAGCAGAAGTCTGACATCTACTAGATCCATATTTAACTTATTTTAGGCCGGGCAAAAAGAAGAGGCAAAGCGGACAAAATTGCAGCACTTCTTTAATAAACAAAACAAAATGATAATCCAAACAGGATATATTTCACAGAAGGCAAACACTCATAACATTAGCGCTGAACATAAACAATAACTAATGAACAAAACAAGAAATAAGTGATTTTATATATACAGTATATATATATATATATATATATATGTGTGTGTGTATGTATGTATGCATGTATGTATATAGTATTTATAAACACAATAATACACAATCTGAGTTTATCAAAAGCCACTTTGTTTCTTATTACAATTATTATATTTCTCATATTATTTTACTTATTATATATTATTTTCTTATATAATTTTACATTTTCTATCTGATATGACATAAATGTAATATTGTCTACCTGTATGTGTGACACAAACCTCATGACACAGAACTTAAAACCCAAATAATATGATGAAAACTTCACTATTGTTACTGTTTATTTCCCAGAAACTGGGTAAGATATAGAAAGAGTAACTGGAACTCAGCCAGATCTTGTCTACCACTAGAGCATCAAACAGGGAAATCCCAGAATGTCTCTGCGATGTGTATAAAAAGATGTCAGTCAGCTCATTTACTCACATTTGGTCAGTCAAGTGGCTTAAGCTGAAGAGCATCAAGAGACTGAAAAATGAAGACTGTGGCCACTCTACTTGTTTTTGTCAGTTTGGCCATTGTTGCTATTGAAGGTATTGTTTTGCTTTTTTTATATATTTCACTAACTCAGCACAATCTGTTGCTTTGCTGTTTCAGAGTAATCATTTCCATCATTTATTTCTATCATCCTCCAGGGAAGCCCGGGATAGGAATCCAAAGATGTTTATGTCGTGGGGCTGGTCTCAAAATTGTGAGGCCAAAGCTGATAGAGAAAGTTGAAATTCACCCTATTAGTCCAACCTGTGGACATTTGGAAGTCGTGTAAGTACATGATTATTTAGAACTGAATTTAAGACATTATCAATCTATATTCTCTTTAAATAACCTGATGATGTGTCTGAACAGTGTAACGCTGAAGAATGGTGTAGGACGAAGATGCTTAAACCCAGAGTCATTGTTTACCAAGAATATCATTGAGAGGATTGCAAAAAAGACCAGGTGAGTCTTATCAATGACATTACAAATGATATCGAAGACTTGAGCTTCATTCATATGTTAAAAATGAAGAAAGGATAATGGAGTCATTTGTATTTATGTTTATTCTTTTTAGGAGTGCTCAGTAAAATGTGTGACGTGGTTCAACTGTGATTTCAAGTGTTGTGGCCACTGTGGACCCTGTCATTAAAAAGCTTTATTGATTCTTTCATGTATTACAATACAGTATTTTATATATTATATTTACACATTATGAGTAGTTTAATTTATTTTATTTTTTTTTAAATGTTGTATGTTCTTCTGTTTGTATCTGTTGTTTAATGTCAGTGGAAAGTATCAAATAAAATCTTGTAAAGGTTTCATAATTTTTTGCGTTGATGGTCATTGTTATGGGTTCCTGAAGAAATATTAGTTATGTTACATGCCTCAGTGTGTGCGAAAAGTAAACAGGAGATCAGGAAAGAACACATGGAGACACAAAGCCATTGTCTGGTCAGCAGCAGCCAATTCCTTTTTTCTTCTTCTTCATATTATGTAACACCTGGAAATACTTGGTTACTTCAAAGTGATTTACACATAACTGAAATAATCTTGAATTTAGCTTTATTTAGAAAAATAGTAAGAATATAAGTACGATAAAAAGTCATATTTATATAACATCACCCTAAAACCAAAGTTAACGCAACAAAACACAATACAAAACAACAAGGGAAACTGAAAAGTCCATATATTGATGTAAAGGAAAATATCTCAAGACCACAAAAGCAAGGGTGAACACAGAACTATCAAATTTCTCATGTCACAATGGTACAACCAATGCCATAGTTAGTAAGGGGACAATAAGTTTTCACTTGAGTCCAGGGTGCGAACTACGGGGGAGCTAGGGTGAGCTTGGCTCCCCTTAATAAGACATGGGCTCCCCTGAAAACGGGATTTGTGAAATTTTGGGGGGTCTCAAAAAATATTGACAATGTGTTATTTTGACGTGCAATTTTAGTTTTGTGTAATGTGATCATCCTGGATTATTATGTGTAAAATTGCAAAAATATCATTCATTCATGCATGACGGCAATTTAAACCTAATTCACTTCAATAAAGATAACATGCTATTCTTGTCATGAGCATCAAGGTGTGGGGGCGCTGCGGTGCAAATTCCACTCATGTTTAGTACATGTTAACTCAAAGACTGTCTTTACATTTATTTTGAAAGATGAAGCTCGCGATTATGGTAAGGGGCGTTACATTTCCGACGAGTGCTTGGGTCAGCTGGCCAATCAGAGCAGACTGCGCTTGTCGGAAGGAGGGACTTTGTAGAAAACGAAGCGTTTGAGAGAGGCGGAGCATAGAGGACCAACAATAATGTACACTATTTGAAAAATAATGTGTTTTTTGAACATTAAAGCATGTCAACATATTCTGTTACACCAAATACACCAAATAATGATCTTTAAAAAAAGCATCATATGACCCCTTTAAGGAAATATTTCCCCTCCGCTCCGCTCACATGCTCTGGTCACGTCCTCACAACGTGCCAGTTTGGTCGTTGGGACTCACCACGTTCCAGCGACGCACCACTATAACGTCGCCACGACAAATATGGGAATCACAAAGTTATGTCACTGGAACGTTATTTGGTACGTCGCTGCGACCAATATGTAGATAGAATAGAATAGAATAATTTTCTTCCCGACCCGACCGTTCCGCTAAATTTAGATCTCGTTTCCAGAATCTCACATTTAAATTTCCGCTACTGAAAGAAAGAGAGATAGGCTAACAAATAAAAGTGTAGTCTGCACAAAATTGTAGGCTATGTTATTTTATTCGTCTTGTCAAGAGTCCTGAATTTATTGACTTTGACTTGAATTTATATGAATTATCTTAAGACACAAAATTCGTTATGCAACACAGTAGGAAATAAAGTGTCAGAGAAAATAAAAATGTTTTTTATTCGTCTTGTCAGGATACAATTCGTTTAACATTTACAACACAATAGGAAAAAGTATCGCAAAGAGAAAAAATAAAAATGTAGGTTGTACAAAAATAGCCTATTAGCTATTTTTCTGTAAACACAGTAGGAAAGTCGCAGAGAAAAATAATAAATACGACATCTGTGATTTAAAATTATAGGCTACACTGTAAAATCCAATAGTTTACCTTACTTAGATTTAATTAGTTATCTTTACTTAGTTGTTATACTTACTAGGTTTTATTAAGTTACAGCTACTTTCAAGGCAAATAAAACAATTTACTTACTGTTTTGAGTGACACTTACTTAAGTAGCCACAATAGCCACAAAGGAACCAATGACATTAATAAAGCAGTGAGAGGCAGCAGTGCACTAATATGTGCA